GTCTGAGGTATCTTTAAAAATTTATGCAAGCCAATTTCGTTAGCTCTTTATTAAATTTTTGGAAGCCAATTGGTTAAAAGCTGTCATAAAAAAGTAGCAATAGTTCAGAAATTACTTCTTCCGGGGGTACTATTGATAACGGAAAAATTAAGAAACAGGCTTTGCAGTCAAGTGATTTCGTTACACGGACAAAATGTTGAAGATGATGATACCGTAAAGAATGCTGAAGAAAGCGTAAAAAACCGACTGACGTGTCCAACGTCTACAGGAAACTATACACGTGATGGGTTGACGGTGCGGTGCTACTCTCCATTTCTATGCCTTTAGTCAGGATTGCCATATTTTAAGGGCTATGTCTACATGCATGTGGCAAGCGTAGCGTCTAATGTCCTGTTTTCTGCCAACAGATTGGTACTTATTTATCAGTCTCAGAAGAATAATGGCTGGTGACCCCAACTATATTTTAAACTCAGAATCTATCGGTTGTGAGTTAGACACTACCGACCGAGCAACCCCGGTCTAAAACAATGTGAAGTAAATTGCTTGCTCAAGAGAATTCGTGAATAGACAAAGATTGCCTTGAGTTGAATTAATATTCAATTAGAATTGAACCTGGCAACTCCAGAGTTCGATATGAACCTCTTAACCACTGTGCCACCACGCTTCACTCCTGTCCTTATTCCGTTGTTACTAGACCATTGGCTTGTCAGTGATTTCCAGCAGCGGTAGGTGCCACGATCAATCTTCATCTTGTTAATACAGTAATGTTGCGAATCCAGCTCTAACCCTAAGCCGTTATCCTTACGCGTCTAATGTAAGCTAGTGACAGTGAAGACAGTATTAATATATCAACTTTATCTTTCACATGAAACGCCTCCTAAATACATGGAAGCGTATGCGAGATCCATCTTTTTAATCCTAGCTTAAGAAGAACCCTTGGAACCTTTCGAAAATACATATGGAATGATTCCTTATGTTTGTGCGAGCATTTCTTGTTTTTATTCAAAACCTACGTTTAGGCAGTGGTTTCGTGCTCTTTTTGTTCTATTTTGTCTTCGCTTTTTCTTGTTCTTTTACGTTCTGCTTTCCTTCTTTGCCATTTTTTTCCCTTGAAGTGTTTACAGTTTGTGGCAAAGATATGTTCCCAGGACACATCGTTTAATGTTCTTTTTGTTTATAGGGAATTTCGAGGTCTGAATCTTTCATGTATGAATGCCATCGCGGTGCTCATTAAAGGACTGCCGTTGCAACCGGACGAAACTGTCCGGGACGCTGCCAGTACT